TTTCAGAATAATCATACAGCTCTTGTTAATAAAATAAAGCTCTTCTTGTAGAAAAAATGTCAGCTAGTAGGGTCATCTTTCAACTCAATGAAATGATTGATTTAGGTAATCAATGGGCAATCACTAATGGGTGCTAAAATAATGGAGAGAAAGATTGATAGAAAACTGAACATTCACACAGGGTCTAAGTACCCCTTCCTGGTACTTGTGCAGTTGCTCATCAAAAGAGGAAAAACATAACCAGATGTGACCACCTCAAACCTGTAGTCAAGCATCATCATCAATAGCAATGTGTTGTCTAATTCACACCAAGCAGATATTAGGTTTAGCCTCATGTAATATAAAGTACATAGCATCACCTATGAAATATTCTTGCCAAAATGTTTAACCTGAGTTTCATGAAGGCTTTAAGTCTAATTACTAGTTTACATGAAATTAAACATGGTAATTAGACTTAATATGTTTTAGGGGCTGTTAGGAGACAGAGGAACACATTAAATGAGAGCAGGGAGAAGCAGTCAGACGAATGCAGTAAGTGGGACACTCCACAAGATCTGTGGCCTGTTCTCTCTAACAAGTAAATCTCTGGCATAGATAAAGAAGTTGTGATAGGAAATCAATTCCAGTTTAGACAAACAAACTCTATGATACATTTTGAAAAAACTTAAATGTGGACTAAATATTAGATGGTATTAAAGAATTGTTAATTTCATCAGGATTGATCATGGTAATTGTGGTTAGATAGGAATATGTCTTTTTGTCGGAGATGCAGCCTGAGATATTTAGAAGAGAAATACCATGTTGTCTGTAATTTATTTAAAATATCTAAAAACAAATAGCTAAGACAATTTGAATATAATACTAACAATAATTAAACCTGTGTGATGAGCATATTGAGGGGGTGGATCATTATTTTATTGTTTCTAGCATTATTTATGAAAATAAAAAATGTTTCAAATTTTTTATTTAATGAAAGCTAAAAATTAAAATTGAAACAAAGAAACAGCAATTGGCTATCACTTTCCTGGGCTCATTTTCCTATCCTGATGGCCAGGAGAGAGTAACAGCTGAAGCAGCTGCCTTGAATTCATAAGCAGAGAGCTCCAGTTGGCAGAGTCTTGCCAGCCCTGGTCCACCAGTGCTAAACCACCTGCCTACCCAAAGAAAGATTGCTATTATGATCAAGTCATTGAAAAAAACATTTAAGAAAAAATTAAGTGTTGCAGATTTTTAGAATATATTGAGATGGTATTTCTACCATAAATCTCCGAAGTCCTACTCTCCCCTCATACACCTTCGAGACTAAATCTTAGACCTTCTGGGACATGCAAGAGTGGGAGCACTTGGAATGACTCAATGCAACACTGGAGCATTGTTAATTCCTAACAAAAGTTGCTGGAGAGTTTCTTTAATTTACCTCACTAATGATCAGATGAACTGCCTCCATGTAGGTGGCTTATAAAACAGAAGCGAAGCTGGCTTGAGGACTCAGTGTCAGCGATAAAATTTTACATAAATATCTTTTCCAAACAGTAAATTCTGTCAACACTGAAAAAAGGGAATTGTCATAACTAGAAGTATCTCGATCTAAGACAGCTGTTTTTTTTTTAAACATGAATAAAATACATGTGTAAAGTATCTTCTTGGCAGGGGCCTGACTGGCATAAATTTCTAGGCATAGTTTGTAATGAGTGGTGGAAATGATAGTTAAACATTTCATTTGTTTGGAAATTTTTCTCAAGTCTATCATTATAGGATCACTTATTTGGTGCTATAAAATTTTTATATTTTAAGAAGTGTTTGATGTGTCTGACTTGTAGTAATGTTAACAGCCGCCAGTTCTCAAACAGCATGCCTCATTTTTAATGTTCAGTTTGATTCATGAGTCCTTGTGTCAAATAATTTTCTGGGCAATGATTATTCATTAATACAAATAAACATTAGATTATAGGAAGAGTAAGCTTCCCATGAAAACCCAAGTTATTATCAGATCCTAAAAGCAGTAATTAAAAACTGAGCAGGACCCTATTCCCAGGTAGAATTGTAAAGTGGATGACTCCTGCATTAAGCATTCTCCCATTCATTTTTAGAGCCATTCAACTTTCTCACTCACTTCATTGCCATCCCTCTTTCCCAAGCCCCAGCTGCAGTCTAGATATTCAGAGCTTCTTGGCCCATTGCAACCACTCAGCATTGTTTGGAATCTTTCTGAATGTCTCTCTTGCTTTTTACTCAAACTTTCCATAATCCAAATGATGATTGCTATAGAATTGCATCAGAAGACTTCTGAAGACAAGTGATTTGACAGCACAGACTCAGAATTCTTAGGTTACAGTGGCAAAATCCTATGGGCATAAAATGAGTTCATGTCTGTCATATGCTGCTATTTGTTCAGTCTTACTTTGATCTACTCACTAAGTAATTCATCCTCTATAGAACTGAGGGTGCAAAGGTAACTGGTTGGTAGTGGGTTAAAGAGGAAAGTGAAATCAGAAAAAAAGAAGGGGTTGAGGAGAGCATATGCAGATTGAAAATAAACTTTTTCTTAGCATTGATTTTCATTTAGTCACAATATTTTTATTTTCAAATAACATTAAACAAAAACATAAAATCTTTATATTTTCTAAAGGAGAACCAGAGGAATAACGCACTGTTCCTAGTCAAAAGTAATATTAACAGGAATATCTAGACGGTTTCAATGTGTTTATTTTAGTTAAATGATAGAGTTAGTTGCAACTAACTCTTGCTATATTTCTCCCATTTCAAAATAATTAACTATTGTAGCTAAAAATTGTAACTATTTTACTTAGCTGTCTTTGGTAGCATTTGAAAGTGAATGCAAAATTTCTGGACAAAATAGGAACAGACACATGGGCTAATATAGGAATATATACAATACTGTTAACTGTCCCAAGATTTTTCATTGATTACCTCTTCCATGGTGAAATTTCAGGCATAAAATTGGTTTGGGTTAGTACAAATTCTGTCCCAACATATACTTACCTGTAGTTTTTCCTAATAAATCAAACAAGCTCATATTTATGGTGACAAATATATTCTAGATTCATTATATCCATAGTTGCTAAAAATTTAGTTCCATGCCTTGGTATGATATTAGAATGTCCATGATAAGAAAAATAAGTCTAGCAAAATGAGGGTTTTTTTTTGTGTGTGTGTGAATTTAATTCCCTTCCTTCTTTTAAATGTTGAAATAAACTCTCCCTTTATGAAACAGTGGTAACAGTAGATGGTCGGTGTTGTAATGCGTGTTTAATGTTTTAAATGTAGCAAAATAAAAGAAATGCCACGCCTATGTTAGTGTTCTATTTATTTTCCATTGAAGAAGGACAGATTTTACTCATTTAAAAATATAAAAGTCTGAGACCAACTGCTCCATATTCTTTAAATGTTGTTATTTCTAGGTGACTTAATTAGACTAGAAGAGAAAACAATTGAATGTCAAAGATGCTTTTTAAGTTGTAAACTTTTCAAGTTATAAACGACTTGATACCATTTTCCTAATTAAAGAGATTTCTGAATTGAAAAGATCAGAGCTCCTGAGTAAATTTAGAAAGCATTTATTTTTTTTATTTTTATTTTTTTGTCATTTACAGAAAGGGGCTTTAAGAGCCTATGTTCCTTTGGCTTTAAGAGCTCTTTGCTATAACTCCAGAGTAATCATTTTCAGATGAATAAACTGGAGTTTGTCTTTAGAATTATCAGTTTTTCTTTTGTTATGGAATCTGAGGTTAGCCAGAATCCATCTGCAGAACATAGGTAGAAGGGAGAAATGCCTGACAATGTGAGGCAATCCTTAGTTATGTTAATACATGCAATTAACCATTTATACACACTTAAAAGCAGACAGCTGGGATGATGGTGTCTGCTACAAAAAACGTGTAATGAAATGTGCTTTACACATTTCATACAATTTTTCATACAAAAATTCCATCTTTGTATGAAATTTTACTATCCTTTTCATTTACTTGTTAACTCTCCACCTTCCTACTCCCTTTAGAATACTTAGTTTGAAGACATGACAATTCTTTATTTGGTCTGTCTCAGGAAGGGGGGAATCTTGTTATTTTTAAGGACTAAAAATAGCATTATAAGATTTGTTTTTATTTTTAAATATGAATATCGATTGAAGCTCTCAAATTAATCAATATCGTTGCCAAATTTTGTAAAATGCACTATCTTGGCCCTCTAATGATATCGTGCTAATATAAATGTGAAAACCAACCTATCAACATGTTTTCAAAAATACTTTTTATAAAAAACAGTACAATTTTGTGGTGTGTCCAAATATTCCTTTCTTTCTTACAGGATATTATTGGATCTGTCCAGTTTATAAATATTCCCTCCCTCCCCTCCTCTCACTCTCTCTGCAATTTTTTGATGTTTGTTCTTTTCTTTCCGTTCTCTAGTTTAGTTCTTATTAATTGATTCAGTGGATGACCTTTTGTGCAACATTATTCTACCTTAACAGCCTAGCCAGGGCCTCCGCGCCACCCAGTTCCAGCAACCTGGTTCTCCTGCGACCCCAAGCCTTTGAGATCCCTGGTTTTTCCTCCTCGAGACTGTCACATCGTTCCCCGCCAGAGACGCCAGTCGCCTGCCTCCTCCCTGGGGTGTGAGCAGGTCGGCTCTCCACACCGATCTAGGTGGTCGGACGCGCGCCCAGGGAGGAGCAGGCGGAGGGGCCCAGGTTGTCCCAGCTGCCGCGCGCCAGGGGATGTGGTTGGCCCAGAGCCTGGAGGCCAAAGGTGGGCGGGCAACATTCCTAGCGCGGTCTGGAGGAGAGGTACATAGGGCCAGCGTAACGACACTTGGAGTGCGAGCTGCGGCTGGGATAGGGGCAGCCTTTTCCAGCGGGCGCGTGGGTCACCTGGGAGCGGTTCTTCAGACCCGGTGCGTCGGAGGGAGGCTCCTGGGCGCTGGGTGGGGCTGGGCGCGGGCGGCGCTCAGGGGCCTGGCACCCGCTCGCCTCAGAGGCGTGGTCTTGAGCCCCTGTTTCTGGTGCGTAGAGACTGTAAATCACTGCACTTCTCACTCATCATCACCCCAGCTTTTCCTAGCTCGAATTCAGCCTCCAAGTCACGGTCGCAGGAAAGTACGCCAAGGGGAAAAAGCATCTGTCCCTGGGCCACCTTCTGAGCGTGGTGGAGTTCGCTTGGGGTTTGCTTAGGGTCGAAGAAGCAGAGAGGACTGACCCAGCCCTCACAGAGAAGAGGGCTGGAAAGTCCTGGAGAACCCGGCAGGGGAGGGGCCGCTGTTGCGGTTGGGAGACCAGGGTGCAGCGCTGGGGTAGCAGATTCCGAGATCCCTGAGGGTGCCTGTCTTGGTTTCTCGCAGTAGTCAGAGGCTCCCTGCTCTCCAGCTGCCCAGTGACTCGACTCAAGCCTAATCTTCAGCACCCCTTGGGACGACCTTTTTGATGCAAACCTCTGATTCTGTTTCGCAGGATCCTCCCCCACCGGCACCAGAAAATCTGACAAGAACTTGAGGTGTCAGCCCTGAGTAGTGAGACCTGCGGTCTGCGGGACAGCTGTGCCTGGAAGAGAAGGACGCTGGTGGGGCTGAGAGCAGAGCTGTCTTCTGGCCCCGTGGCCCCCCATGCCTCTGTCATGGCTAACAGTTCTAGGGGCCGGAATGGTCGTCCTGCACTTCCTGCAGAAACTCCTGTTCCCTTACTTTTGGGATGACTTCTGGTTCCTGTTGAAGGTGGTGCTTGTTGGAATTCGGCTGGAGAAGTATAAAAAGAGAGGGGAGCTGGTGACTGTGCTGGATAAATTCTTGAGTCATGCCAAAAGGCAACCTTGGAAACCTTTCATCATCTATGAGGGAGACATCTACACCTATCAGGATGTAGACAAAAGGAGTAGCAGAGTGGCCCATGTCTTCCTGAACCATTCCTCGCTGAAAAAGGGGGACACAGTGGCTCTGTTGATGAGCAATGAGCCGGACTTCATTCACGTTTGGTTCGGGCTGGCGAAGCTGGGTTGCGTGGTGGCCTTTCTCAACTCCAACATTCGCGCCAATTCCCTCCTGAATTGCATCCGCACCTGTGGGCCTACGGCCCTAGTGGTGGGCGCAGGTAGAGTATGGGGTGTGGTCTGCTAATACAGAATAGCAACCCATCTGCTTTCCTCCCCCCTTTTTTTTTCTGTAGGATAATTCATAACTAATACTTTGGGTGAGTGAAGTGTGCATGTTAAAAGTACAAAATAGTTTTATGATTCTGTGACTGGTGGCTTAACACCTACCTCCTCCTTTCAAGCACATACAGTTTCAGAAAACTTTTATGAAATCTCTACCTCCTACCATTTTGAGACAGGGACAGTTTTACTGCCATTGGTACCTTTAGTGAGTGCAAGAACACATAGAGAACTTGGTCAGTTCTAAATTTTATCAGCTCTGGCAAAACGATGAATAGGAAAGTTATCTTCATTGTGGCACACCTACCTACCTCTAATTACACTTTATCAAGGATGACTATGTTTGCAGAACAGATTATGTTTAATGGAAAGTGCATGAATTCCTTTCTTCGTGTCTGCTCTTATTTTATAAAGTCTGCAAGCTAGGACTTACCTGGCAAGATTGCCCTCCCACCTGTGAGCCAGAAGGTGGGCTCTTGGCTGAATCTAGGTCCCATTCTATTTCTTCTCCTGATCCATCCATGCATCCTTTTCTTTTATTCACTAAGTTCTACTCTTCCTCCTCCCCCTATGTTGGAGTTAGGACATCTTAGGCTACACATATTTACACTGGACTGTAAATAAAGCCTGTGGTTTAGTGGCTAATTAGTAAAGAACCTAGGAAGATGGGTTGTTTAAAAAAATAGAATTGAAATAAGAAAATTGATTCTTATTTGGTATAATCTAAATGGTTTATGAAGATTCTTCTTGCATGGGGAAGAATGGTGCAGAAAGAGGAAGTGCAAGGATCCCAATGAAAATATTTAAATATATTAGATTAATAGGTACATAGCCATACCTCGTATAAAGTTTTTAGACTCACAGAACAGTATGGAAAAATATATCACCGATGAACTCTAAGGCACAGGCCTTTCCAAATAACCTTTATCATACAATATTTGTATATCCGACAAAAATAAGTTAGGCTGTATACAGAAAGCAGGCTATCACTTTTCCTAGTTCTTTTCAGTTCAACTTATGGTCTGATAAAGTGGCAAATGTTTATTCTTGAGCACTGATTTTAAGCTTCTTTGCACTACAGGAGGAAAGGGTCTAGGAGCAAATGTAAACTCCAAGTTGTGCTAATAATTGATAAAGCTATAAGTTATGTTTAGAAGGGCCAACAAAGAGGGCCCCAGTATACCTGAAAGATTTCTATGGCCCAGGTGTTGAGGCCAAAGAAGCATTCCAAGGCTGCTTTCCTGAGAGATTCATCATAAAGAACATAGGACTGGTTACCTCTCAGAATAGAGCATTCAAACTTTTCTGTTGATCGAATTGTTGTTTAACTACGACCAATTAATTCTGCAGTTTTGCTCATGGCAGCTTTTACTTTGCTTGCTAATAATTAATTGCATTGTTTTCTTATTTTTGTTTTTAACACCAACAGTCAGTTTTTACATTTAAAAAAGCCAGTTTGAGATGCTGAAGTTTTAAACCAGACTATTTAGTTGATTGGCTCAGTAAGTAGGTTGCTGGAGAAGTGAACCATTCTTTCTGGCATACTTTCAAACATAAATAAGATACATGTTGTCCAAAGACTGAAAAATTCTATTTTAATTAACAGATTTTTATAATAAGATGTACCTTAGATCAGAATCACTTTTATACTTAAAACACTGTGTTGTTGGCATCTGGAGTCTCCTTGGTGAACAATATATACATATTGTTTTTAGCACATTAAAAAAAGATGAATCATGTGGCTCAGACAGATAAGCCAGACAGACCGGACTTTCATGTATGGTCTGCCACCTCTAGCTGTGTGGTTAAAGATAATGTCGTCAGTTACCCTGGATCTCACTTTACTTAGTTTTAAAATGGTGATGATACCAGCTGTTTCACAGTGTAATTCTGAGGATTAAATGATACACCTCCCATATAGTGGCTAGTTGAGTGCCTGGAATGTACTAAGTAGATCTTTAGTGAATTTAAATGATTTCTATTATGATTATAGAGTAATCCTGGGGCTTTTAACAAGGGATCTCATTTGGATTTTGCTGCTACAACCTTATTTGATGTTAGCTGTTAGAAAGAGTAGTATGTACAGTCATGAATCACTTAACGACAGGGATAATTTCTTAAAAATGTGTTAGGTGGGCCAGGTGCGATGGCTCACACTTGTAATTCCAGCACTTTGGGTGGCTGAGGTGGAACAATCATCTGAGGTCAGGAGTTTGAGACCAGCCTGGCCAACATGGTGAAACCCCATCTCTACTAAAAATATAAAAATGAGCCAGGCATGGTAGCAGGCACTTGTAATCCCAGCTACTTGGGAGGCTGAGGCAGGAAAATCACTTGAATCTGGGAGGCCGAGGTTGCAGTGAGCCAAGATTGTGCAACTGCACTCCAGCCTGGTGGTTAGAGTGAGACCGCCCCCCCCCCCAAAAAAAAAGAAATGTGTTAGGCAATTTTGTTGTTGTGTGAACATCATAGAGTGTACCACGCACACCTAGATGGCATAGTTTACTATACATCTAGACTCTGTGATATGGCCTATTGCTCGTAGGCTACAAACTTGTACAGGCTATTACTGTACTAAATATTGTAGGCAATTGGAACACAATGGTGGTAAGTATTTTTAAGTGAAAACAGAAAAGGAACAGTAAAAATATGGTGCTAGAATCTTATGGGACTACTATTGTATATGTGGTCTGTCACTGACTGAAATGTTGTTATCATCACTATGTGTTAGCAGTAAGTTAACGGCAGAGTTAGGATTCAAGCCCATGTTTCTCTGATACCATAATGTGTATTTCTCACATTCAGCCTTGCCACCTCTCTAAGGAGGCATAACCTTTCTTTACATTACTTTTGCTCCTGACAGTATTCAAGCATCATTCCCTTTCAGTAAATACATGTTCAACAGATACTATAAATAAAAACCCCACAGTCAGTGTCTCCATGACAGTAAAGAGGAAACCATGTACGTATCAGTGCTTAGAACACTGCCTTTTCTAGCTACTGAACCATGAAACCATTTAAACTTCCTATTAAAATCAATTGTTTTCTTTTGTAACAGAAGTAACTGTTGACCAAGCTGAGTCTAGGAATGAAAAAGACAAAAAATAAATGCCAAACAGCCTATTCTACTACATGCAAGTAGAAATTTAGAAATGTCCTGAAAAGTAAAATCGATATCATGTATGGACATCGTAGTATGTGGATAAGATAATAAAAGTTCACATGAGCTTTGTATTTTATCTATCAGCATACATAACACTTTCTATAAAACATAAAAGAGGCTGGGCATGGTGGCTCATGCCTGTAAACCCAGCACTTTTGGAGGCCAAGGCAGGTAAATCACCTAAGGTCAAAAGTTGAGACCAGCCTAACCAACAGGGTAAAAACCTGTCTCTACTCAAATACAAAACTAGCCAGGCATAGTGATGCATGCCTCTAATTTCAGCTACTCGGGAGGCTGTGGCAGGGGACTCTCTTGAACCTGGGAGGCGGAGGTGGCAGTGAGCCAAGATTGCACTGTTGCACTCCAGCCTGGGCAACAGGAATGAAACTCAGCCTCAAAACAAAAATAAAAACCTGTTTAAAAAGGCCTTTATTTTTCCTCTGACCTTTAGTCTTTAAAAAGCAATTGTCTTTATGGTTAAAAGTCATTTGGAGGATTACAATGGCTTGGTTGTTAACAAGAACGTTTGTCCTGTACGGTTTGAATGTAACAGTTCATGAAAACTAACAGTGCAAGGCTGCATGCATTATTGTGTGTTTATAGAGAAGACACAGGATTCTTACTTATTATGAAGAGAAATCTGAAATCCTTCAAAATATGTTGAACCATAAAATACTATCAAATCTAAATTGAAAGAGTTCAGGGTAATTGAATAGTCTTTTAAAGTTCTCTGTTTATACTTATAATGATTTAATATGTGGTATATTAAGAAAGAATGAAGAACAAAATATACACTATATACAGGTAAATCTGAAACCTTGTGGGTGCCTAGTATATCTAAAGCACTTTGTACCTTTTGGGAGTGATGATTAGTGACACTGACATCAACACGATAAATCCCAACCATATTGCCACCCTCAAAACCAATTACAAAATGAGCAGTAGAGAGTGGACAACTTTTTGCAAAAATATGCAAGTAAATTAAAAGTTACCAAGTGTTCACGTGGATCTCACAGTTTTTATTATGTCATTCATTCACTCATTCATCCAGGTAATAAATATTTGTTGAATATTTCCTTTGTGCTAAGTCCTGAAAATTTAGCAGTGAACAAAACAAACTTCCTCAGTTCAAGAGTTTACAACTAGTTCTTGAACTATTCCTCAAGGCTGCATCAATATCTGTTTGTGAATTGGCTAAGAGAACTTTATGATTGCAGGGAGTCACTGTAAATACACATAGAGCACCTGAGGCAGGTGAGCTCAATGGAAAAGGCACTGAAAGCAGATGGATAGAGAGAAGGTAAGAGAGAACAGGAAAGGGGTGGGGGAACAAGGGAGAAAAGGAGAGGGGAAGGGAGAAGATGGAGATGAGGGAATGAGCAGGAACAGAAAGGAAGAAAAAGACGAAGGTAAACCCAGCAGACTTTTATGATTTTGCATGATTTTGAAAATCTGGACTCCAGTTCCCATGCCACCTTGCCTAGATGTATGAGCTTGAGTAGATTATTTCCCCACTATAACTGGGCTTCCCTCATCCTTGAAATAAGGTTAATATTTACCTCTCATGGCCGTAAGTGTGTATCACCAAAAATAACACGTAAAAACATTTTGTAGTCTGTAAGGTACTTTAAAATGGCAAGGATTCTTATTTATCATCATCAGCATTATTATTATGACTAAGCATGCCAAAGGATATAATTGCATACAAATTTTAAATGATATAAAACACCCCAACATAGTTCTGTTTGTTCCAAGTAAAGATAAAAGCATAGATGA